CCGTTGATTCTTTGAATCACAAAGATCTGACCATTTCGATGAATAGTTGTAGCAGGTGTGATATAGCCTTCAACGTCAATGATCTGGTAGTCAATGATGTTGGAGATGTTCTCGATAATCACACTGCATTGGCGAAGGTCAGGATTTTGAAGCAACCACCATTCATGATCAGGAAGGCGAACAGAGCGACCATTCATGCATCGAAAAGACCACTGTGCAAATCCAAAACGATGCAAGGTGGCATGAATCTCCTCAAATCCGGCATTGGAGTTCCTGGTTGTGACAAAGACCACCTGCGGATCAATACAACAAAGGACAATAGGAGTGGACAGCTCATCACCGCTCAGAAGACCCTCAGAGGTTGCAGCTTCAAAGAATCGAATCATGGCCATGAAACTGTCCTTGGTGATTTCCAGTTCAAATGACTGCGAGGGGATCTGAATGTTTTCCACCTGAGGTACAGGAACAAATGGACACGTTGGGGTGATGATAGGATCACTCTCTTGATGCCTCGGCTCTTCAAAGTGCAACACTGCGACCCGGCTGGCCGCTGCACAGACATCCCATGAACTTGAGATCGCAATGAGGTCTTGGATCAAATCAGTGGCTGATGCAACCACCACACCAGTCCGAAGGGTGAGCTGTACAAGCACATGCGGTTCGAAATGCGCAAAGCTGGCTAACAGCTGGGCAACCGTCCAGGTCTCTGAACAGGAGCCTGCAATCAGATGGTGGCCATCCTCTTGCCGCAAAGCATACTTCATTGGATGCATGGACACCGGCGCTGAATGGAAGGAAGTTCTTTCCCAAAACAACTTGGCATCAACAAGCGAAATGAAACAACCTTCCCTCACGATGATAGCATTGTTAGCAGTGAGACGTTTGTTCCAAATCCTTTCAACGAATTGCTCAACATCAATGGACACTCGATTGATTGCCTGGAGCCCTACGAGAATGGCAGTGGCGGCTTGCGGGACCGAAACAGCGTTGCCCAACCCATGAAACGCTTCGAACGGATCCGAGGGCAACGAAATGCGGTTGGTGCCTCCTAACAACGCAACGATCCTAGCCGGGTCGATGAAAGCGAAAGAACCCTGGTGCTCCTCCAAACAAGCAAACAAACCCCTATTGACAATGTGGTCAGGGTCCAATTCATGTTGCTTACCATACATGGCACAAAAGGTGGGAAGCGGTTCATGCAATGTGGCAGCTCTCTGTGCAAGGACCTGCTCCTGAGAACGGTCAGTCATACATCTGGCCTTCTTCGAGGGAGGCAACAGGTGATGTGCTCCATAGATGTTCTTGAGGTCATCAGTCAGGCGGAGGGCATCGCGAAATTCCTGAGGCAGACAGAATTGATACATGGAACTGTGCCATGAGACCCTAGGCAAAACTTGGAGCACATATACCTGCCGATTGGTGTCACACGAGTGGTCAGCACGAATCCAAGCCGAGAACCACCGATCTCTGTGGTTATCCGAGAGGCGATGGAATTGGAGGTTCTGTTGCCAGACTCGTCTATAGCCTCCTAACTTGAGCAAATGTGAGATCACACCGAAATGCTGGTGATGAATAATTTCATCAGCACACTCGAACAATTGGATGTTCGGCCTGAGGACAAAGACTATGACCAATGCTTCAACGAAAGCGAATCCGGCATCTGAGTTGAGTCCCTTCGACTTCCCTGCTTTGCTCCAAGAAACGCACGGTGGCGAAGCAGTACCAATCGAGTTCATTCGAAAATCGACCTGATGGATCAAAGAGGTGTCACTTACCGAAGTGCAGACTCCTATGTGCCCACTCGGATTCCACGTTCGATTCGGCGGGGATTTGCCAAGATGATGCGGTCTGCCAACCTGGTGGGACCACAGCCCCATCGTGACAGGGTCACTATCAACACACACCTGTTGCCCCAAAGGCGGAAAAGAAACATCGTGAAAAATGGCTTCCATGGCCTGCGACCACCCATTGAATGATCCAGCAAAAAGGTGAAAAGAATTCACCGGGATGCTCCAATCCCACTCTGCAACATGGACCACACAGGCATTCGCCTCAAAGTGGAAAACATCTTCACTCTCTGATTCAATCTTGCCAAAAAGGGTGATGCAGTCACCCTCACACATGTTGTGAACTCTCGCTGAAAGGAGAGGCACATGGAATTCCCACGGAGCATGCGGCTTCACCACAAATCCCAAACCTGGTTGGAAAAATTGTGGACATAGCCTCACCATATCACCCTCAGTCGACATGACACTCCCTTGAAGCAAGCACTTATTGGAAAATCTGATCATGAAACCAGGTGTCCCCAAAGCACCAGCAACATCCAAAAGCTTGGATTTCCACGGGTCCTCAATCTTTTTGGAAATCATCGACATCAATCGAACCTGAAAATCATCACCATGGCCTGTCGATACCACCGGTAGACTCATCGCCACGCAGACCGAGATGCGGCCCGGGTGCAAGGCCACTTAGTGGACACCACCCCCCGATCGCGAGATCAGGCCAGTGGCCCTAGGTGTCTCGTGCACCTTCAGCTCCACGGCCTTGAGCCTAGAGAGCTAGGTAGTCTATTCTGTTCATTTTCTGCTCGTTGGTCATCCTCTCTCGCTCGGAGCTGTGTTGCAACTGATCAGTATGGATTCTCTTCTGGTCAACCAGGGTGCCCCACTTTTGACCCACAGCCAAATCCAGAAGGGTCCAAGGACATGCAGAGGTCGTTTCTTTTTTGAACGATGTCGCATCTTGAACGAAAAAGCATCGTCGGTGGATGTTCCTGGACCCACGTGGACCCCCTTCTTGGGCATGATTTTAAGGTTATCAGCAGTTTCTGAGAAAAGAGATCACCCGTCCTCAACTCCGGTGGTTGAATGGGATACTACAGAATATCTACTACTGGATATCTACTGGACATGAGGCAGAGGCAGAGGAAGATGACTAGCGCTTGCCTGGAGGAATGTTCCTTTATACCCATTCACAGGTATTTTTGCCAGTTGCTAAGACGCACGATAGTAGTAGTAGCAGCAGCAGTAGTAGCAGCAGTAGCAGTGGCAGTGGCAGTGGCAGTAGGAGTAGTAGTAGTAGTAGTAGCTGCCTGTAGTAGTAATAGTAGCTGCCTGTAAATTCTCACGTCCCGAACAGCTGATCACATCAACCCCCTGTAGATCGCAAAAAGAGTCAACTAAGTGCAGTGCACAGTGCTGATGGAGGGGTCCTGCTACGCAATCTCACAGACAGATGGAGGCACGGAACATCGGATGTTCTCAAGGGAAACAGGATCCTGCACCATCTCCCACACAATGTCCGATACCATCCACAACTCCATTCTACAGGTGTCAAGGGCAAAAACAATGGTGTAGCCCATTACACATGGCAAAACAGCTATAGATGGTAAAGCACACATCATCATCTAATTTTGAGATGTCGGCCTTTACTAATCGTGTCTAACCATCATCAACCTAGAGCCCATTTGACCTCCGTTTTGAAAGGAAAAGACCTTATTTTGGGTGGTTGGTGATCCAAAATAGAGGTCATTCAGGTTCTAGGAATGGGATATACCCAAGGTGTATCCGTGGTCCATTTGTGACCGGGATTTGTCCCTCTACACAGGGGCGTCTTCTCACATGAGCGACCCACATCCGCGTCCAGTGACGACCACCGTCTCGGTACATCGACTGGGACACACCAGTATGGAAGAAGATGAAGGCACACTATTGGCGATGGCCTCCAACCTAATGGCGATGGCCTCCCATTACACTATGTCACTCTATATAACATACATCAAGGCGGTATGAGACTACAGCTCATAGTATGATCGCTCTTTTTTTGTGGGAAACCCTTTACTAAATGTATCTATAATATAAACGTCTAACTATGGGATATACCCCCGGCATAACATGTATTGAAAAAGATTCACTGGACTGGACTATTTCATTTTCTACCCGTTGGCGAACACAAACCCTATATTCTTCTCTATCACTGTATATCATACATACATGCATACACTATATTATATAAACCACATTGGAAGAGTCTGCGCTTGAGCGCCTGGATCTTCCCCATGATCTGGTTGGTTTCCAGGTTAAACAGGCAGACATGTTGCAGACATGATCTCACGCGGTCTGTCATTTGTTGGGCTTCACCATCTCCTTTAGGATCCTCCTCACGGTGCTCACGTGAAACGTGTCGCGCTTGGGCTTGCGTGTCGCGCTTGGAGGATTGGCGGCATGGCCATGGACCTCATCAAGGACCGGTGCCGTGGCTCTCGGGGCGTTGACAGAGCTCCGCCCGTCTTGGAATAGAGGACGCGTCCAGTGAGGAGGAAAGATCCAATGGTGGTGCTGTGTTTTTCTTATGGCCTACCATTTGGCTGGCTTTGGGGGACGGTGAATGTGGGGGGTCATATCTACTTACTAGTTTGGCAGTGGTGAAAGATTCCAACTGGTTCACGAGTTTTGCGGCATCAGTGCTGAAACCGGAGTTCCCTCTTTTTCTGGGGTGGGATGTCGCTGTTCATCCTGCTGTAGACAAGTATATACAAAATCGTCACCTAGAGTATGTCTTGCAATTTAGTTCGCCACATCCCAGCAATTCTCATAGGGGTGACATTTGTGAGCATTTGTGTGACGTGTTGGAACTGCATCAAGTTCCTTGACCGCTATGTGTTTGTGTGCGGAGACCGAAAGAATCCGAAAGAATTGAGTATATCGATTGTATGCGAGGCTGAGACTTGCCACTAAAGCCTTTGGGCATTGCTGCCAAACCCATGTCACTCCCTCTTGCATGTGCTGTTGCTCCAGGACAGGTATCAAACCTTCTATGAGCTCGAGGCGGAACCACACTGGCTGCTCCGAGTGTTTACTTTGCTCTTCCGCGGTGTTGGGGAACGAGATCCAAGGTTGAAACAAGCCTCCCAAGCTTCTCAGGCATGTAAAAAATGCATGAATACGCATGAATACAGTCGTTGACAAGGGCTGACAAGATAACCCAGTCGTTGACCGACTATGCCACATTTGGCACAGCCGCAGAAAGCCTTGCACACCATCCCGTACCCATACGTACCCATACGTCCACCACATGAAACTACGTAACGCCTACTGCCTTGCAGGAGCCAAACCCATTACTTCGATTGCTGGCGATTGCGTGTCACCCTTTCATCAGCTCACTTGGCCACAAGTATGCCAGAGATCACCAGACCTTCCTCCTTATTATGTTGGAATCTATTCAAGGGAAAGGAATGAGTATCTGGAAACGTATGAAACATGGGGACGGACTTTCACACTTTTTTACACACCGACCAAGTAATTACAGTAAATTCTGGGGCTTTTCTTGGCTATGCTAAGGATGGTGATGAGCCTCCCTATGGCACTACCATCCATGGGGTCCCTATGGTGGTCACAAGGATGCTATGCTTGGCTACCCTCCAAATGGGCTCCAAGCTTCTTCGGGATCGGTGTGAGCTGAGGCCCAGGTATGGATGCAGGCCCCTGGTGCCTTATGAAGACAGACAGAGAAAGGAACCACAGACCAAAACACGGTGTATGTTATGATAGAGTTATGTATGTCAAAATCAGATCATTAAAATAAACATCTATTTAGAACAACACAGTGTGTGTTTTTGTCTCCTTGGTTTTGTTGTAGCTTGCTGTTTTTTCCTGGTCCAACGGTTCGCTCAGCCTTCCAACCCAACTCGGGCGCCAGGTCTACTGCTATCGCGTTGCGGGGACTGTTGGCATCATGACCCTGCCGGTCCTGGGCTTCGACCCCATGTGCCATGGAGTGTTGGGATGAGACATGGGGTGACACCGTGATTAGATATGGTTGGCTTTTGTGTTTGGCAATAGCCAAAGGCCAATGGCTTATAGGTGAATTATAACCATTATATTCATTATATGGGCCGACCATATCATTTTAACCATATATTATGGTGACCCATATTTCAACTTCGGAGGACCTTGATTTGGGGCTTGAATGCACCGCACACAGAAGCTTTTTCGACAACAATGTTTGTCGACATAGTTTTGGATGGGTCGAGTTTGGACTACCACCTAACACCGAAGTGGAACGACATCTTTTTTATTTATATTCTATGTTTTCCGAAGATGGGAGGCTCTCAACGGGATCATTCGATCGATCATTTCAAACAATATATAGCTGTTTTTTTTTCTGTGTTGCCGGGTAGGGTGCATAGGGTTGCCAATCATGAACTGATTGGAGTCCCAACACCCATTTGGGATAAGTCCTTCCTGGATAAAGGCTAGACTCGTGATAATGGATTATGTATTTGACCCTCCAATTGAATTAGAACTCCTCTTCAAGAGTGATGTGGATTATATATGATATTTACTGTATATATTTCACCCCCCCTCAGGCTTGACTTGGAACTCCTCTGAACCCGCCTGGGCGGGGGGGTGAAATAGAACGAATTCTCAGAGTCTCAGAGTCCAGCAAGCTAGAAGCAGAACTGGAAAGCCTAAGGAACTTGAAACCCCAAAGGATTCGGAGGATTTCCAGGATTTCCATGCGAATATGGACCACGGCCATGCACCGCCATGCCCACCGATTGCCAGGCAGAACTTCACCGAGGACTTACAGGACGGTGACGCTGTGGCCGACTCGGTGCAGGTTTTGGTGGTTTAACAGTGGTGGTGGAGTTCGACTCGGATTTTTATGTGGCTTATGAGATTAGTATAATATATATATAGTACGTATACCAGGAACATCCAAGGGGTGCCCATTGGGCACCCCTTAGCACCAAAACTCATTGGGCACTCCTTAGGTTTTTGTCTTTTTTTCATGTGGAATCGAACCAATTCACAGGGTGAGTCAAGATTTTGTGTTTTTCCATGTGGAACCAAATACTGTAAATTCACAGGGTGAGTCACCCCATCCCAACCATACCACCAGTCGCGGCCGTTTGAAGCATCCCTCAACCCCTGCAGCGGGTCTGCAGCCGCCTCACAGGGTATCGAGCGCGGCGCTCAGGGTGCGAGGTGAACACAGGTACCCATGGTTCGCAACCTGTAGGGCAGTTGAATGACCCCAGCAGTTCACATTCCTTACAAGGAGGTATCTCCCATGGGGAGATCTTGGGATTGAGGTATGGTATGTTCAAAGGTTGTGTCCATTCGACGCCCCTTACAAAGGAGGCAAGCCCAAAACTCATTGGGCACCCTTCGGACAGTGGAGCCATGGCAAAGAGAAGGAAGAGCTCAAGTCCGATCTCAGGAAAATTTGTCTGCATGCACATCAGGTCTTTGGATGAGTATACTGGAAGGTGGTAAATTTATGTTGAGCTGGTGTGACGGGTGTGATAAGGAAACTCGCCAATGCTATGATTAGAAGATTGGACCCACAGCATGTCCTCAAGCATGATCAGGATTAAAGCAAGTGCGTGGGCTCGTTCTGGAGCGGCTAGTGCGTAAGAAATGATTGGGTCTCTAGGCTTGCAGCTCATGATTAAGCTATTTGACACAAATCTTGGACCACGCCAAGGGGCATAGATTTCCCTGCACTGCTTAGGTGCTTAGGGTCAGGTATGGGGAAGGATGCAGCTACAGTCTCTTCATCTGAATTTCTAAAGTACCAGGTACCGATATCGGAGTGGGAACATGCACCCATGAGAACTGGGGTGAATGTGCATGCAGATCCATGGATTATTTTTCCAACAGGGAGCATGCACCCATCGGACCCTAGTGCTCGCATGATCCATCTGGTGCGTGACCCTCTCCACAAAGAGAATCACAAAAGCACAGGTACCGATATCGGATTGGGAAACAAAATCCCGATATCGGAGCAAGCCATCCGAGGAATGATTTCCCGAGATACACCACATATAGCACACGAACAGCAGTAGATCAAAATCGGTGACACGAAATGACACGGTTATGGGTAATATCGGGTTTTGATAAGGAGCACCCCTTAAAGTAAGTAGTGCCCAATGGACACTCCTCAACAATATCGGGAAACACCTGCCGACACGGATTGACATGGGTTGACACGGCTTGACATGCAAATTCTCTAAGTATTACTAAGTATTGGAAAATTAATTCTACGGGTCGAACCACTCAACCCAGATCTGATGGGTGTATGTTCCCATTCCGATATCGGTACCTGGTACTTTAGATACTGTTGAGGAGAGCTGTTCAGTATGATGCTTGGCGGTAGTTTCCAGTTTCTACGTGTGTTTTTTGTATTCGTGGGTTGAACTGGCTGAATCAGCCTCCAAAGGTTAAGGAGACATCTGCACGCTGGAGGCAGCAAACAATACCCGAGCATTGCTCAGAAACATTTCAATGGTGCAGTTTCTTCGACTTTGCTTTGAAATGGTTTTTGGTTCGACATTTTCTCATGTCATTATAGGGCTCAAGAGTTTGAGGTCCATGTCGGGGAGATCATGGGATTTGTCACGGGGTCTTTTCCAGGTTGCAGGTCTTGCCCAACTGGTCTGACCATTTCATTATTCTCATTGAAGCCCCTGTCACTTCATTGCTTCCTTGCGCCCAGGATTTGGGCAACCTGTTGCTGTCAAAGTGCCTCGAGCTGGCGGACCAATTGCTCCAGAACCGGTCCTCGCCATCGAGTTCAACCGAGCATGCATGCTTTGTTGCTTGGCTACGCCCGTGTGGTATCAAGCCATTTTAGCCATTTTGCGCAGGCATCCACAGACATCAGATGTCTGTTGCAAATCAGGCCACCCCAATGTGGTGAAGGCGCTGGAGCGCGTTTCCGGGGCGACCGTTTGGTCCTTCGTGCATGGCAAGCCCTGAAAAAACGGGCTTCACCGAATTGGGTTGGACACGGCGGCCCGGTGCCAGGCTCGCCACCGCCGCAAGGTCCCAGTGTTAAGTCGTAGCATCTGGAGCATGAGGGGCACCTTATTTTATTATTCCACCCCCACCCGTGAGGTACTGGGATAGTTTTTTCTGAATAATACTTTTGGAGAATAATTTTCTATGCCCCTATAGCTGCTAAATAGGTGTCACTGGTCCTGTGACATGTGGATATCCTTTGGAATAATTAAAGCTCGCATATACTACTCATTAAACTGTTTGACATATTTTATTTCACTCTTGTAAGATTTGCATCCAGTGTTGCATTTTTCAGGGTCAAACAACAAACCCCAAACAACCAGAACAAACCCCAGATTGGGTCAAATTTGATTTCCTTAAGTAACAGCAATCATAGGTGAATTAATTTTTGGGAATCTGTCTTTCCTCAATAGGTGCGAGCCCCAGGAAATAGCACCCCATAAATTATCCTCTGTTTCACAATTCCTCCATCCCCATTCCCCAGAACTAGCTGAGATTACCTCGGCACCCCAAATTGGGTCAAATTGGATTTCCTTAAGTAACAATTATATATCATAAATGAATCGATTTTGGGGAATCTTTCTTTCCTCAATGGCTTCCATTGTCAGGAAAATGGTAACTTGGATTTTTGCTTGATATTCAAAACAATTATTGCTGCATATTGTAGCAAATTAATAGTTTTTTGCAATTATTATTCCACTGGTAGCTGACCATTGGATTAGTATGTCAGTAACTACGTAGGGGGGTTACTGGGATAATTTTTTTTATTCCAGGGTAGGTGGGGGGTATCTAAGGAACCCCTCATTCTAGAGCATTTGAGCGTAGGTAGTCGCTGCCTTGCTAGTGAAGGGTAGCCACTGGTTTGAGCGGTAAGCTTGGCTAGCGCTTGCTGCACAAAGCCATTCACACTGCAAGTTTTGCACAGTGCAGCTGACACAAGTAGTCCAAAAACACGGGTTCTCTTCAAGGGAAGCTTACGGGAAAGTCGGACCAACTCGCTGTTGCCTCTTGCAGGTGGCCATTCAGGTTGCCTCCGTCGTGCGCTACCTGGCCACCATTGGCTTCATCATGTGGGATGTGCACCATGAAGACGTGCTCATCGACCACCTGGGCAAAGTGACCTTCCTGGACATCTTCATGGGCCCGTGCGAGTGCCTCGCTTCAACACCAGAGGTGCTTGTCCCGGACCAATGGACTTGGACTTGAAGGTAAAGCCAGCCGGACTGAGACGACATGATAAGTCCTTGAAACAGATTGAAACAAGATTCAAGAGATTGCTTTAGAAAAGCATCCGTGCAGAGCCTGATTGAGCCAGAACGGGACAGAATGCATAATGCATCGTGATTTTGGTGTTGTGTTTCTAGTCTTGCATGGGACATGGTCGCACAGCAAAGCTCTGGCACCCATGCAGACCCAGGAATACCGGCTGCACATGGTCACTCCCTCCAAGTCTGCGAGACGGAGGGCCCCATCGCATGCCTCTTGGACGCAGATCAATGCGAGGTTCTTTGGATGGGGTCAGTCATGCTTGGCACGGTGGCCCAGCCGGCTGGTAAGGCAAAGACTGGAAGTGCTGGAGGCACCTGCTTGGCAAGTGAACAGCTTTGTGGCGGGGGTGAGTGTGGCGGGCAACATGTGGATTTGTGACACAAGTTCTGTGTGCTGCTTTCGGTGTTTCATGGGGGACTGCATGGCAGTGGTAATGCTTGCAGGATTGCAGGCACGTGAGCACGTGGACTTGCGCATGCACCAGCAGTACCCTCAGTGCAAGCTTTGGGCACAGCCCAAGGGCAAGGCTGTGATGAAGAAACCTACAACAAAGGTTATGAAGGTCTTGAAGAAGCCAAATCAGTCAACAAAGGAGAAGACAGAGAAGCCTGAGAACACAAAGCCAGAAAAGAAACAGAAGAAATGGTCAGAGGGTTTGGAGAAGACAAAAGAGAAGGCAGAAGAGAACACAGAGGAGAGCACAGAGGGTCCAGAAGAGGAGGATGGTACGCGCGATGAGGTGGTCGACCCCAACACCGACTTCAGCGTGCCAAAGGAGACAGACCAGAAGAAAGACCGCACCTCCACCATCCACAGGTGTGATTGATTTTTTCAAGGTTCACACACATTCCTGGCCTACTTGGGCATGTTTCTTTTACTTGCGCAGTACATTCCTTGTGGCTGCTGTGATGCACAGTTTTGCAGCTTTTAGGATGCACTTTGATGCACTTTTGATGCATTTTTGAGTTCTCACAAAATTACTAAGAATGCATTATTTATTGATTATATACATTATTTTTTCAATTTTTGTAATTTCAAGGATTTAGTAAAATTACTACTTCAGAGGCCTTGGCATGTGCCTTTGGCTTGCCCTTGGCGTGCGCAGCTGCATTGACTCATGGTCACTCTGGTGAACACTCTGGTGAGGACTCAGTTGTGTAGCAGGCACTTCTGCTTCTCCACCATGACTGGACATGGCTCTAGTCTCTAGTATCTCAAGAAGATCTATATATGGTAATCTTGACTGCTTCCTGCTCTCATGAACCCAAAAGACATGAAGAAGCTCTGGAAACATAACAACCCAGGTACTAACCAACTCCATGTAGTCCAAGTATTCAAGAACAACAACATCAAGTCTCAAGTACTTTCGTCTTTACACAATTAAGACCTCTCCAAGTAACTTGCCTCAAGATGCAAAAGCAATCCAAGAGACCAGGGTCCTTTTGAAGTACAAATTTGACACAACCAAGACCTCTCCAAGTAATTTGTCCCAAGATACTAAAGCAATCCAAGAGATCAACTCCTTCTGAATTAGAAGCATGTTTAAAGATGTTTCTTAAATTTTATTTGTTTTTATTGAATTTTAGCGGCGCATTTTTGATGCACTTTTTGATGCACTTTTAAAGGTTTCTGATGCACTTTCAAAAGTGCATCAAAAATGCGTCGCTAAAATTCAATAAAGACAAATAAATTCAAGAAAGATCTTTAAAAATGCTTCTAATTCAGAAGGAATTGATCCCTTGGATTGCTTTAGTATCTTGGGGCAAGTTACTTGGAGAGGTCTTGGGACAAGTTACTTGGCATCCCAAGTAATCAAGTATCTCAAGTATTCACAACACAAGTTGACTCACAAGTATATCAAACCTCAAGTATTTCAGCTTATCAGAGTACATATGCGTCCAAAGTAATCAGCTATCTCAAGTATTCACAACACAAGTTGACTCACAAGTGTATCAAACCTCAAGTACTTCAGCTTAAAGTACAAAAGCATCCAAACTAACCAGGCGATATCAAGTATTCACAACACAAGTTGACTCACAAGTATACCAAACCTCAAGTATTTCAAATTCTTTCAATGCAAGACCTGAGAAGTCAAATGGTGACGGCCCTCAAGAAAGAACTTCTAAGAAACTACCCCCCAAGCACTCAAGACTGCTGACATGGTGCAGCACACACCTAGGTTTATCCTTGCTTAGGCCTCCAAACTAGCAACACACAGCTGTCAAAGAACATTCCCACAAGTAACATGGCAAGCCTCAGGCAAGCAGCAAGAACTCACAAGTAACATGCCAAGACTCAGGTCATGCAACACAACCTCACAAGTATAACTTGCCAAATCTCGGGCAAGCAAAAAAACTCACAGGTAGTATGCCAAGACTCAGGCATAATGCAACACAACCTCACAAGTACTATAACTTGCCAAGCATCAGGCAAGGAACAGAAACTCACAGGTAAAAGGCCAAGACTCAGGTAATATGCAACACTGCTTTACAAAACGTCCCACACTGTGCCAAGTAGAACCCTGTGCCAAAATTCAATTTTGACACTAGTTTTTGGTCAGAGAAAGAACGACATTTCTCATGTGTTGCATAAAAACCATACTTTTTAGAAATTACTATGTATAGTAAATCAAATTTCTATATATAGTAATTTTTGTACTATGTGAAATCACTTTTTTTTAAACAGTATTTTTTGTATAGTAATTTTACAAATTATAGTAATTTATTGTCTTAGTAAAATTACTACTTCAGAGGACTGAGGGTACTGTATGCAGGGCGGCTAGGGAAGTTAGTTTCGCGGATGAGAAGCTTACAGAGGGCGTTAGGTTGCGGCGGTGCAAGGGCTTCGTATCATCTCTGTTTGGCCCTTTCCTGCTCATGTGTTTGTTTGTGAATCTGTTTGTGTTTCTGCTGCTGTCTTTGCCTGTCGGCCGATCCATCTTCAACTGTCTTCATCTACCACCTTCTGCCATGCTCTACCAGGGCCCTTACGTGAATTTTACCGTCTGCTTTATATACAGCATGTGATGTTCATCATTGGTTAATATTGGTTATCATTTGTCATTAGCATAGCCGTTGCCATTCTCACCATCATTGTAACAGTACATGCGCGTGTGCCAAAGTTAGTTTTTCTTTCCTACCTTCTTTCTGTCTTTCTTCATGTTTGCTGGTTTGTTTCATCAATTTGTTTGGCTATTTGTCAGTCTATCTGTGTTGTCCGTATGGCTGTTTGTTTATCTGTCGCTCTCTCTGGGTTTCCGCTCAGGAGTCTGTGGTCCTATGCCGATGGCTCCGTAGGCTCACACTGCAGATTGCGGAGAGGCACCCAGAGGATGAGCACTGCCCGTGCCTTGCATTGAATTTGAGGCCTAGTGGCCTAGTCTTTCGAGAATTTTGTTTCAACGTATTGTTGCCATTGTTGGTCACAAGGAGTGTGGCAGCTGTATTCCACAACTTGCGTGTAATGCGGAACTCTAAGAAGGATAAGCGCAGCCTGCCGGTGATCCTGACACCACAGAACCTTGAGAATCTGCAGAAAGCCAACTATCTCTTTCACTGTGCTTCGAACTGTGCCTTTGTCATTTAAGATTGTTTCGGAATCTGCTCAGAATCATGTCCTCTGTGAGGTTGTTGGCTACTGATGGCCTAAGGGTTGGCCAACGAAGCGATCACTCATGAGAAGCTATACTTTGGAAGTTGAGGCCGAAGTTGCTCCGGCTAGACCACCTGGTGTTGGATGCCGCCCCGCTTCCAAACCCGTTACCACTGAGTTGTTATCAAGATGAGGATGGTATGGGGAAACTGAAAAGAGTGGCGGCGTCCAGCCATCCCAAACGGTTGGGATATCAGTGTTTCAGCCGCTATGCGGCTTTCGTCTGTTGCCGTTGGTTGAGGCAGCTGACAGAGTAGAGTAGAGTAGAAAAGACAACCTTCCACGAAAATCACTACTGGGCTTGACAAACATCACAATCTTCTTTATAGCCCCAAAGACGGATGGTATGAGGATGGCGCAACTCATGTACACCTGCCCTCTGCCAGCAGCCCCCCAACCGGGCCGGTGGAGCCTGATCGTGGCCCGCTCCAAGAAGCAGGCGCAAAGGCGGCGCAGCTCGCCACAGCGGGATGGATGTTCGACGGACGACGTTTTCGATGGGAACCTGGAGAGATTTTGGGATTGAGGTATGGTATGTTCAAAGGGGTGTCCATTGGGCAGCCCTTATCAAGCATGTAAACCCAAAACTCATTGGGCACCCTTCGGATGGTGCTGGTATGTATGTATGTATGTATGTATGTATGTATGTATGTATGTGTGTATGTATGTATGTATGTATGTATGTATGTATGTATGTATGTATGT